TGCTCGGGAGACTTTCCAACCCGCCTGGACACGTTCCTGTGGGGCTGCCCTGGGTGACCCTGCTCTGGCAGGGGTGGCACTGGGTGATCTCCAGAGGTTCTTTCCAACCCCAGCGGTTCTGGGATTCCATGTGAGCTGTCACACCCCACCAGTGACCCAGCACCAGTAGGCACAGCTAACGGGGAAAGAGGAACGCCGCTTGCAGAGCTGGGTGTAAAACTGCAGCCAGGCCAGGCTCAGGGCTTCACCAACCTTCCCTCAGCCCCACTAAACCCCAGTTTGCTCCCAAAAAAAACCATCCAACTCCCCCGGGGCAGGGGCAGAGCCTGAGACCAGACGCACAAGTTGCGGAAACCCCCGCACAGAGCGCAGCCGGCGTTCTCCATCTGCCGACGGCTCGGCCGTACCTTCGGGAAGTCACCAGGGACAGATTCTTAAAGACAGCCTATTAAGGTAATTAACTTAACCCAAAGGATTCTTAATTATGGATCTCTCGTTATATAGATCCCGGCCACAGGTAGAACCACGCCGGCTCCAAATCAAGTCCTTGCTGTGAAGGGTTTTCTCTGTGCCTGCACACAGCGCTCAAGTCATCTGGGGGGCACGGACGAAACTTCCCCTCAAAATCCGTTTGCGTAGGGAAGGGCTGTGGCACACAAACAGGAGGAGGAAATTATTTCAGCGACATGGAAAACAGGCTTTTTTCCCCCCTACACTGACAAGAAGACAGGCAACCCGAGCACACAGGGCAGCGCCCGCTCGTCCCTATGTGAGAACTAGAAAAACCCACGTCCCTCCAAAAGGCAGAAGGAGGAAGCTCTCTTGGATGAACGCCATCGCCATCTGCTACTGAGATTTCTCTTTAAAAAAGCTGATTTTTCCCAGCCTCTGCAGCATGATTGAGAACCACCCAAAGATCTCTCCCTTTTAAGCCTCCGAGGCTTTTTTTCCCCCCCCGCAGGTCTAGAGCAGCGCAGAACCGGTGGCATCCAGGAGCCTTTGGGCACCTCGGAGGCTGATGTTCTTCTGGTTTTTTGGGGTTTTTTTGAAACCAGAGTGAGGAAATGCCAGCTTGAGCGGCCACAGCAGAAAATACAAACGCTGCCTCTCTTCACCACCTCCCCGCTGCGACCTGGAGCCCTCGGCGTCAGGGGAAGAGCCCGGCGAGTCTCGCCCTCCCCAGGCAGGCACCGACATGGGGAGGACGAGGAACCCACAGGAGCATCATGGCGAGAGCTCTGCACGCTCCTCCCACCCTGCTGGGAAGAGTTGAGATGTTTACAAGGCAGGAAACCTTCTCAAAGCCAAAGCTGGTCTCCATTCCAAACCTCCTACAGCCTTTTTTTTTTTTTCTCCTTATAGAAACTCCGTTACTTCGGGAGCACGGTGACAGCCACTAACTCTGCTCTCAGACATCTCATAATAAATAAAAATCACGGGTGTTTGGTGTGAGAAGCAGCAGGGATACAAAGAAGGTGACTTAAGGATCTGGGAAGGTGGTGGCACAAGGAGGAACGTCGTTTTCATTTGCTTCCCTGCCCCAACTGCGGTTATAAAGTATCTTAAACCAAATTATTTCCACCCTCCTCAAAGAAAAAAATTCTACATCTTTCGGGCTGGCAAAGTATCGTTTTTCCTTAGCGTAGACGCTTTGCAAAAGTAGCTCTAGAGATATATTTTCATACGCACCGTGTACGTACAGCTCTTCTGGCTTTAAGAGTAAATTTCCTTCTCACAGACAGGCCTAGGGATACACAACACAAACCAAAAATCCCCAGTTAAGGGTTTACAGCTCGTTCTGAATAACTTCATGCTCAGAAAAACTCGAGGATGCTGCGTGTTCCCCCAGCAAGAAGCTGCCACCCTCCATCTGCAAATCCCTTTTGGAGTTAGGGGGAATTAAAACACACTGCTCTTATCTGTTAGGTAAATTCCTTTATAAACTTGGCCACTCTCTAAATAAATAATTAAAAAATAAATAAATATCAAACACACTTATTCTGAAAGCTACAGATGAACGAGGTGATACAATTACAGATCTCCGTGGGGGATTTTCCTCAAACAACAAGCAGCTCGTGTTGTATTTCAGACTGATCCCCAAGTCAGGAGCCAACTCGACCAGAAGCTAAAAAGCCCGCGGAGGAGCGACGATGACCCATGATTTAGCTGAACATACGACAGCATCTCTGTGCTTACTCTAAAATATCCGGCGCTGGATTTTCCTCGCGTTATGGAAATTTTACAAGTGGGAAAAAGAAAAAAAAAAAACCATCAGCATTTAATATAAACTGACACTAAGTCTACATATTCTTCCGTATTCTCTAAAAATAGGCCCTGCTAGAAATTCGCATTTCACGCACGATTTCAAAACATGAAAAGATATTTTTTAAAAAAAAAAAGTGAGAGCTTAAATTCTGTACCACAAAAGGAGCTCCCAAAAGAGTCTTTTATTTGTGCTTCAACTTGGATTCCATGTATATGGAGAATTTAAAGCCAACGTTTGCATTTATGGCTTTGCATGATTCTGAGAGAACATACTAAAAATTTTCCAAAAAAAAAAAAAAAAAAAGGACTGAAGAATGGATGAGGACTTGTTCAGGGTGTTTTTTGCCTGTTAACCAGGCATGCATCTACTTTTTGCAGCTATTTGCAGGATGCTCTTCTCGACGTTTTAGGTCCAGGCTTTCTTTTGGGAAAAGAATACCCGACAGCACAACCACACTTTATGCAACTTACTGCCCCTCCCCTTTCGCTAAAGGGTAAAACATTACGGACGAGGCCTGGCAAAAACACCCAAACAAGGTTTTATATGTTTCATTTGGTTTTTTTCATTACCTGGGGAAATAACCCAACCTCACAGCTGCCAAGGGAACCAGGTTTTGAGGGAGGAGCGGAGAGCGCTGCGACAGCACCGGAGAGCAGGGCGGGAAAGGGAAAAAGGGCTGGAAGCCGACGATCTGAATCGCTGACCTATTTTCTCTTTATCGTCAGGAAGATCCAGCGCAGCAAAATGTTCCCCCCAAGTCACGATGTGGCACCATCACTTTCGGGCCTGGCACCTCAGCCTACCTGCAGCGAGCCGCTCGGCATCCCGCAGTTCCGGTAAAGGAATTTAATGACAATATCCTCCTTGCTCGTCTGGCGTATTTCCAGCACACACTGTAAGCCCGGGTTGTGCTAACGGGCCTGGTAATTCGTTATCAGGAAGGAATCCTTCTGTATTGTCTCCGGAGCCGCTAAAGCTTGATCTGTGTTATCATTTCTGCCGGTAGTAATAAACCTCACAAGCTCCCCGTTGGACCCCACCAAGGGAACGCTGCAAAGCCG